TTTTTTATTTTATTTTGTTTTTTTTTTTTTTTTTGTATTTTCATGATATTTTATTTATTTTTAAATGGATAATTTAACTTTAAAATCAATATTAATAAAATATATAATATTATTTAGACACATTGTCAAAACCAACTTTAATTATTACGAAAAAAAAGAAATAATATTTATTTGAAAAAAAAAAAAAAGTACGAAGAGGTTACGGAAAATTAGTGATTTTGCTGAGATTAAGGAATGAAAATGGGAGAAGGGAAAATAATTAAAAAAAAAAGCAATGTAATTAATTATTATGATAATAATAATTATTAATTAAAGTAGCATGATAATTATTGGGGGTTGTTTGGTTGCCACGTAATATTCTAGTCGCCAATCACGGGAAACATTTGAGTCACGAGTTGACTCGTGAATCAAGGGATTTTATTGGCTTACAGCTACCAGTGATTTAGTTAATATAATAATTAATTAATAGATTTGAGCTGTTACAAATATATTACCGTACAATTGCTGGTAAACTCTATCAACTATTTTTAAAGTTGATATTACCGTACAATTTTGTAACTAAAAATGAAAGTAAAAAAAGTGAGGTTAAATTTATAAAATAAATAATTAAACATAATAAAATAAATTACTTTTTAACCTAAGTTAAGATTGCTTGTGTGAGAGGGGATATAAAAAAAATTAATAATAAATAAAAAGATAATGTAGTTTTAAATTTAGGTATTAAAATAACTAATTCATGTTCTTTTGGATAAATTAAAAAAAAAATTATATTTCCCTTTTTATTTTCCCTTTTGAAAAAGCCAATAAATTCTGATTTTTTTAGAATTTAAACTTTTTAAAAGGCAAATAATTATTATTGTGAAAGGTGATTTTGTTTTTGTTTTTTTTTAAACACTATTTATTTTATTATTTTTATTCAAATTATGATAAATTATTTCAATAACTTATAATTATTAGTTTTTTAATTAAAAACCCTTTTTTTCCTTAAAAAAATTTAGAAATTTTTTAAAGAATATTTATAGAAAAAGAAAGTTTTTTCTTTTGAAATGGATTGTGGAACAACCAAGTGACTCCCATCACGAGGGAAGTTGAAAATTGAAATTCCCTTCAATGCATTTACAATTTTGCCCTTGTTTTTTGACATATTTTACACAACCCAAGGGTTTACCAACAAGCAAATGGCCACTTATTGTGTGGGGACTAAACCCATCAAAGCAAGTAATTAGTTTTGGGTTTTGACTTTTTAGGGTTTATAACCTAACGAAGGTTTCAAATCTCGACGTTGACGAAAATTTTAAGGGTAATTTTATGAATTCAGTAGACTTACGTCAATAAACCTATAAGTTAACTTGAACATAACTCAATTGATTAAATTTTATTTCCGACCTTATCCTCTACACGTCGATTCTAAAAATTCCCACAAAGCTAGATTCAAAAGCTGCTCGAAAATCGAGCTTTCTCGATAGCATCTCGAGAAAAAAAAAAAAAACAAAACAACACGAAATTTATGGAGTAGTTGACATTAAACGCAAATAAGGAAAAAAATTTGGGAGGAATAAATGCAAATAAACAAGTTATGAGGGGGGAAATTGCAAATGTAGTTTATAAGGCCGATTTATTGGTGAAACTGATGTGTCATAGCCTTTGGTTGTGAATTGAAATTTTGGACCCAAAATAAGAAAAAGGGCAAAACTTTCTCCCTTTGGGAGGTACATCTAGTGTCCTTAGCTACTTTTAATGTTTTTTTTTTCGGGAGCGGTGATTGTTCGGGATCTTATCCTATAACATTTATTTTTAGTTCAACGAGGGGTCGAGAGATTTAAACGTTTGATTTTTACCGATCTAAGTAATGTAAAAAAAATCTTCAACTGTCCATTGTTAAATTGGAAAAAAGAATGTTCGTACGAGTTTCTCATGATAGTCTCATTTCATTGACTATTGAAGTACATTAAAGTTAAAAACTATCTTTTCGGAGAAAACCCATAACTAAAATTATGTCATACGATGTTACATAGTACACGAAAGGTATATAGAAAATGCGGTAATAACTTCACATGTATGTTTGGTAAAGTAACACTAGTCCTTAGCTCGAACATTCGAGCTTTTGATAAAATAAGAACTCTCGAGTCAGATAAATTAACAACGGATCACTGTTATAACAGTCCAAACTTAGCTAGTAAATATTGTTTACTTTGGCTCGTTTCATATTGCTGTCAGCCTCACAATTATATTCTAAACTACAAAAAATACAAGTGTTTTTTTTGCGGTTATACCCTTAAAGAACATGTATATTACAAAATGACCCAATTGTTCCCGACCAACATAAATTATGCGCATGGGAAGTCATTTTAAAACCACAAAAAAAAAATATATATATAAATAGAAAATAACAAAAAAAATTATTTGATTTTGGCACCAATCATTTGGAATTTTACAAAAATCCCCCCACCATACCCCTCAGGATAATTTTTTTTGGTGCTTCTGGCTCCATTTGTTGACACGTGTCCTGTACTTTTCATCTGTGGTGAAGATTAGATCAAATCTTTCTCTTTATTGACCATTTTACCCTCTTGAATGTTTGCTCCAGCCTCCATGTGCATGGTAGCCCAATTAAAGCCTCACTTTTCATATCCAAATATGTTTTTATTTTATTTTCCATAAATATTCATGTAATTATAAAAAAAAGCTTTTTGCCCCTTGAAATGTCTATTTTGTGAGATTTAAAATTAATAATATAATAAATATCCGGAGAAATTTATTCTATCGGTCATCTAAACATACTTTATCAGTCAATTTTTGTTAGACAAGATTCTCGATCTAGAACAATTGACCTTATTCAATAAAGTAATTTACGTTAGTTTTTTCGATTACCACTTGCCCCCATAGTCAATGAATATTAATTATCCAATTTTATAGTATCGTACTAGAAAAATGATATAGTACATGGCGGAAGCTAACCGTATTTATTTCTTTAAATTCCACGAAATAACATGCCGACCTTTTGTTACTATTTTATCTTTTGATATTATTACATTACGGGTAAAAATGTAGGGTGGACTTATGATGGGACCCATAATTTTTTTAATATATATATATATATACGCACACGTAACCACTTTTTTATTTAGCAAAATTCTCGTAATTACCCTTTTTTTTTTCAATAATTAAAATATTATATTTTAAGGGTGGGAAAATAAGGATTAAAAGTAAAAAATAATAATAATAATAATAATTAATTTTGTTCATTATAATATATTTTATTAAAAGAATTTCGTTTGTTAAGCAGAGATTTGCGGATGGATGAGAGAGAGAGAGAGAGAGAGGTCCAGCCTTCCGGGGCAGGTCATCGCCAACCCGAGAACGTGGTCGAAAGTGGGGCCCACAACGGACCACATAAATGCGCATCAGGATCAGGTCACGTGGCCAACCCGGTTTGCGTCTGTTTCCCATGGGCCCCACTCAGTCTCAAATCTTAGTTGGCATTCCGCCCAACCCGGCTCGCCTTCCGTGTATATTTTATTTTAGATTTTACCTTTTTTTTTTCTTTTTTTTTTTATTATTTATAATTATGAAACTAAAAGATTAAATTATACTATATTTACCGCGGTAATTTATTTATCTTATATATTGAATTCTGGTATGACTTATTCATGAACCTTTTATGATATTTATATTTACGGTACGAATAAATAATTTTGCTTCTCCACCTCTTGCTGGACCGAAGGTTCAGCATTTCACTAACACACTGCCCAGTGTCTAGGTTTGATACTATTTGTAGTTCTTTGGAAGAGGTTTGTTCTGTTTTTCTCTCCAACCGATATGGGATTTTACAATCAACCCTCTGGGGTCCAACGTCATCACTGTCGCACTATTCGATGTCTAGCTATGATACTATTTGTAATAGATCAAGCCCACCACTAGTAGATACATTATTCTTAAAATCCTCGAAATTTATTATACTCCTGGAATAATGGCTCTGAATCATATCCTTATTGCCATCCAAATAAAACTTAAATAAAAAATTAAAAAAAACTGTACATAAACATGAAATTATTATAAGATGAGGTATGACTTTAATTAATTGCACCAACTCCTAATCTTCAAACATGCATAATCTCAAATAATTTTATAACTATACGACTGTTAAAATAAATTAAATGAATATTTAAATATGTATATAAAATTATTTTAAACATTTTAAATAATTTTAAATTAAGTCGACTTGATGACGTTAACTATTTAATTCCATTTTTTAATTTTTTTTGGACAAATTACATCATTATTTCCACGTTTTCTCTTAATTATTATAACTTTTTTTCTCCCAACTTCCAAAGGCTATTATTGTAAATGTACTTTGACTTTTTTTGTATCAATAATGTTTATATTAAATGATGAATGCTATAAGCTCAAATTAATTTTTATTTAAATTTTCATTTTAGTCCTCCCACATTTTAAAATTTCATATTTGTCTTTTAACTTTTTATTTATTTATTTATAAAATTTTTAAAATTATGGACTAAATATATACAATTCTAAAAAAAAATTAAATTTGACTAAAAATAAAATATTTATCTAAAAGGGGATGAAAAATAAAATTAATAAACTGTGAGAAAACAGTTATAATTCTAAAAAAAATGAAAAATCTTATAATTATTAAATGGATCTTAATGGTCACGTTACCCATATTTAATTTAGAAATCACTTCGAAATTTATTTAATGATATTTACGATACGAACCATATAGAATCAAAATTTATAAGTTTAGGAACCTTAGTCAAATTACATACATAGATGTAGGTATCAAACTTTATTATAAAAACTATATCATAAATGACATAGCAAGGAGGAAAACGGAAAACAACACTAACGGATACAATATTGGGCCGACATGTTTTAGAACGTACGGATGAGTGTGATGTGAGCTTGGGTCGACATATTGGGCCGGCATATTTTTCTTCGTGGGCTCAGACCAGCCCAATTCGGTCGTTTGAGCCCAATAAAACGAACTGTTCATTGGATTTCAAATCTTAACGGTTGCAATTCAATAATGAGATTATTTTTAAAAAAATTTGTAATTAATAATTATAGAAACAAATTTACAAAAATAAGAAATAATAATAATTTTTTTAATTATAATAATATTTTTTTCTTTTTCCAGAGTTTGCCTTGGTACGGCTCTTGCGGCCGACCTCTAGATGTCCAGTCAACTGCTGCACCTCAACGCATTGCGAGGAGAACCAGCTAGCTCTAGGTTCGAGTGGCATTTCACTCTTAACCACAACTCATCTGCTGATTTTTCAACATTAGTCGGTTCGGACCTCCACTTAGTTTCGCCCAAGTTTCATTCTGGTCATGGATATATCACCCTAGTTCGGGTCCATAAGCAGTGATAATTGCTCCATGAAAACTTATAAACGACCTGGCTAAACCTATTGATGGCCGAGGTGAAATTTAAGCTTCTGCCTCTCGGTTAATTAAATCCCTCACTCTTGGTATTATTTCGAGACGTTTCGTATATGAGCCTCTTCAAACAGGAATTATTGCTATGGATGCGATGATTCCTATCGGACGTGAGAAATTCTCCATTTATTTTAGTGAGTATCGGGTGTGAATTTTCCATGGAGAACTGTTTCATGTGTGAAAATTTTATCTGTTTATCATATGTAAAAATATATTTATATTAAGTGGGACGAGAATTGGGTGGAGACGGGGACAGAGAATATAATCCCGTCCTTGACCCCATTTATCGAATTGAGATAAATCTCTACCCACTCCCTCTCGTATTTTTCCCCATAAATTAAATTTTTTAAATTTGGAACTTATTAAATAAAAACTAAAATAAATACAATATTTAAAAAGAATATTCAACTCTGTTTAAAAAAGGACCGCCAAATCCCAAATTATCGAGAACGTGGAATGCTTGTAATTTGTATCAATATAACAACGGTGGTACCCGGGCGCGCACGTCTTCTTCCCACCATCATAGATCGTACTTCTTTTTTCGTAGTAACTACTGAAAAAAAAGTAACCACCCGAATTTCAGCATATTCCACAATCGAAGATGCGAAATCCCACTTCAGTTCATCTCCATTTCCCTCTCTTCTGTCGCCCCATTTCTGTCGAGAAGATTTAGACGGAAATCGCCATCATGAAATGGATATACATTGCTCATTTTTTGCTGTTAATTAGGTTGATTGTGGCCGATCATCGACGAATCCCCACCACCCTTGATGGGCCATTTCTGCCAGTTACTCGTCGATTTGATCCGTCTTTGAGGCGTGGAAGCGATGATTTGCCCTTGGATCATCCCAGGCTACGGAAGAATGTTTCATCTAACTTCCCTGAACAGATAGCGCTTGCGATTTCCACTCCGAGCTCCATGTGGGTCTCTTGGGTTACGGGTATTTGATTCTTTCAGTCTCTGCTTACTTCATTTTTAGTCGTTGTATCAATTTTCAAGAGTTTTGAGGAAGCAGAGTATCATTGATGTGTTTTTACTTTGAAATTAGTTGCTGTTGTTTTGTTTGATGGAAATTTGGATATGGGATTGTTTGAATTGGTTCAGGGGATGCTCAGATTGGCAAAAATGTGACTGCGCTGGATCCCTCGTCTATTGCCAGTGAGGTTTGGTATGGAAAAGAAAGTGAAAAGTACACGAGTGTGAGAAGAGGGCTTTCGACTGTTTACAGTCAGCTATATCCATTTGAAGGGCTGCTTAATTACACTTCTGGCATCGTTCATCATGTCAGAATCGACGGTATAAAAGCTTTTCTTCATAGTTTTCTTATGGTAGTTGGAATTATTTGAACTCTATTATTGTTTTGATTGTTTAAGTGCCGGAAAAAATCTCGCTATTTTATGGTTACATTGTGAGATCCCACCTCGGTTAGGGAGGAGAACGAAACATTCTTTATAGGGGTGTTGAAATCTCTCCCTAGCATACGCTTTTTAAAAACTTTGAGGGAAAGCCCAAAGAGGACAATATCTGCTAGCGGTGGACTTGGGTTGTTACAAATGATATTAGAGCTAGGTTCTGGGTGATGTGACACTGAGGAGGCTGAGTCCTGAAGAGGGGTGAACATGAGGCGGTGAGCCAGCAAAGACAATGGGCCCCGAAGGGGGTGGATTGGGGGTCTCACATCGATTGGAGAAGGGAACAAGTGCCAGTGAAGACATTGGGCACTGAAGAGGGGTGGATTGTGAGATCCCACATTGGTTGGGGAGGAGAACGAAACATTTTTTATAAGGGTGTGAAAATCTTTTTCTAGCAGACGCGTTTTAAAAACTTTGAGAAAAAGTCCAAAGAAGACAATATCTGCTAGCTGTAGGTTGGGCCGTTTACATTCATCTTATTCGTTGGCCAAAGAGGTCAGTTTGAAAGGATATTCTTATAGAGGCGCAGAAGCCTCTGCATCTGGCATAGTGAAGATAAACTAATGAAAGTTATTTTGATTTTGATTTTGAAGCATGTTCTTTCTTATGGAAATGGTTCATGACTTGAATTAAAATAATGCAAATTAGGGTCATTCCAAGAACACTATGACTTCCTTTATTTTGCCTAATATATTGTTCCTATCAGAGATTGCTCTTAGATTAGAGTATTATTCCCTTTTATTTGCCAAGTATGTTGCTTAGTTTCTTGCAGGCCTCGACCCCGAAACCAAGTATTATTACCGGTGTGGAGATAGCTCTATTTCAGCTTTGAGTAAAGAGCACGTCTTCAAGACTTTACCGGTGCCGAGCAAGAGTTCATATCCTCATAGAATAGCCATTGTTGGAGACTTGGGACTTACAAGCAATTCAACAACAACAGTTGATCATATGGTTAAGAATGATCCTTCTCTGATCTTGATGCTCGGAGATTTAACTTATGCGAACCAATACCGCACAACGGGTGGCAAAGGAGCTTCATGCTTTTCATGTGCATTTCCAGATGCTCCCATCAGAGAGACATATCAACCCCGTTGGGATGGGTGGGGCAGGTAAAACCCCATATAACAATATCCTGTTTCCTGTTTTTAGATCTTTGAAAGTATCTTTTGTTACTTGTTTTGTTTGGAAAACGTTTCTGAGATATGTGGAAATTTTTGAGGAAACAATACGTGTTCTTACTTTACCTTAATGGAACTATTATCTTTTGTTTACGGCTTTTTGAGAATTGTTGGGAGGGGATCCCACATTGGCTAATTTAAGGAATGATCGATCATGGGTTTATAAGCAACGAATACATCTCCCTTGGTACGAACCCTTTTGGGATAACCAAAATCAAAGCCATGAGAGCTTATGCTCAAAGTGGACAATATCATACCATTATAGAAAGTTGTTATTCCTAACTCGGCTTACATGTTGTATGCTAAATATCGTGCGAATTTGACATGGGTCATATTGGGTATCAGGTTTATGGAGCCACTGACATCACGAGTTCCAATGATGGTTATTGAGGGTAACCATGAGATTGAGCCCCAAATTTCCGGGATCACTTTTGAATCATATTTGACAAGATTTGCAGTGCCCTCTGCTGAGAGTGGCTCGAATAGTAGCTTCTACTATTCATTCAATGCTGGTGGAGTTCATTTTCTTATGTTGGGAGCATATGTTGATTACAACGCTACTGGTAATAGATACATACATGCATTCTAGTCAAGTGTTTGAAGGGAATTGTTTTTTTCCAATGGCCTGGCTCTCATTGTAGGTGCTCAGTATGCTTGGCTGAAAGAAGATCTGAGTAAAGTGGATCGTAGCCTGACCCCTTGGTTAGTAGCTGCCTGGCATCCTCCATGGTACAATAGCTATGCTTCTCATTACCAGGAATTTGAATGCATGCGCCAAGAAATGGAACACCTTCTTTACGAGCATCATGTCGATATCGTTTTTTCTGGTCATGTAAGTTTCAAGATTCTCTTGATCAGAAATATGCATGTTTTGCTTGACCCTCTTCCCACCGGTCCCCCGAGAGATCGAAATAACTTGACACAAATGTCTAGTCTTGCGAGTTCAATATGGGAGGGTCATTGACCATCATGTTTATCTTGTGAATTATGGTCTGCAGGTCATTGAATCTTGTACTGGCTTTAATATTGACCCTGTCTTAGGACTTCAAGTTTATTTTGCCTGTAGTTCTTTGTTATTAGATGAACATTTGATCGAATGTGTGCTATCTGTCTCGGCTGTTCAGGTACATGCCTACGAGCGCATGAACCGAGTGTTCGACTATACGCTGGACCCTTGTGGGCCAGTTTACATAACAGTTGGAGATGGTGGAAACATTGAGAAGGTTGATGTGGACCATGCTGATGACCCTGGAAAATGTCCTTCAGCTGGTGATAACATTCCTGAAATTGGAGGTGTTTGTCGTTTGAACTATTCTTCAGGTCCAGCAGAAGGGAAGTTTTGTTGGAACACTCAACCTGAGTGGAGTGCATTTAGAGAAAGCAGCTTTGGTCATGGAACGCTTGAGGTCATAATCTTTTGTTTATCATTCTATCCTTACTCCGAATACAACTTTTGTCTGCCGTGAGATTCTACATTGATTCGAGAGGGGAACGAAACATTTCTTATAAGGGTGTGGAAACCTCTCCCTAGTAGATGTGTTTTAAAAATCTTGAGGGGAAACCTGAAAGGGAAAATCCAAATAGGACAATACTTGCTGGCGGTGGGTTTGGACTGTTACAAATGGTATCAGAGCCAGATACGGAGAGATGTGCCAACGAGGACGTTGGGCCCCAAGGGGGTGGATTGTGAGATCCTACATTGGTTGGAGAGGGGAATGAAACATTTCTTATAAGGGTGTGGAAACCTCTCTTTAGTAGATGTGTTTTAAAAACCTGGAAGCCCAAAGAGGACAATATCTCCTAGCGGTGGGTTTGGGCTGTTACAAATGGTATCAAAGTCAGACACCGAGTAATGTGCCAGCGAGTACGCTGGGCCCTAAGGGGGTGGATTGTGAGATCTTACAATGGTTGCCGATATTGTCCTCTTTGGACTTTCCTTCTGGGCTTTCCCTCAAGGTTTTAAAACGCATATGCTAGAGAGATGTTTCCACGCCCTTATAAGGAATGTTTTGTTCCCCTTTCCAACCGATGTGAGATCTCACAATCTACTCCCTTGGGAGCCCAGAGTCCTCGTTGGCACACCGCTTGTCCTTTTTGGATTTTTCCTTCTGAGCTCGGTGGATTTGGGCGGTTACATTTGCTCTCCTATTTTGTTTAAAAAAACACTGCAGTTGTCAAAGTTAGATTCTACCAACTAGTCCAGTCGAAGAGAATTTCATGGAAAAAAAAAAAAAAAAGAACCCATCTGCTCAATCTGCTGAACTGGACACTAATCTATCTTGTAACATATAAACACCAAAGAAGTTTCCCCCCTCTAGTGAAAGGCCTTTAATCTTCAATGTCCATTAACCTTGCAGTCTAACGAAGATCCTATGGCACTGTATCACCTGAAAACTTAACTTGTTTATTTTTCTAGTTCAGGTAACAAATTCAACGCATGCTTTGTGGACTTGGCACCGGAATCAAGATATGTATAAGGACGATAGCCATGGAGATCAAATATACATCGTTCGACAACCCGGGGCGTGCTCTCCAACTGCCAAGGTTGCTTCTGTCTCAATACTCTCTTGACTTGTTAATGTTTATAGGTCCTTTTAAGCTTCCTTGCTCTAGAACTTATAATCAAACCTTATCGATAAATGTTTAAGGTTCGATACGTTAGTAACTACCATGGGTTAGCCTTATAGCATTAGCATGTAAGAAGACTTTGAGGGAACGTGTTCAAAGCTCGTAGTGACTTAACTAGGATATGAACGTTCTATGAATTTTGAGACATAGTGCGCGTAAACTAGCTCAAATACGATATAAAAACAATCAAAGAATGCCTGCATGTATACCTCACTTGTCTTTCTCATCTATGTTATCAATACTTTTCTAACGGTCAAATCCCTCGATACGGTTAATTATTGTATTTATTTTTTAGCTGAGGGTAGTGTGGTAATTCCTCCGTTAATAAACATTTAGGGTCGAAGAGGTTTGTGAGATCCCACATCGATTGGAACGAGAAACGAAACATTCATTGGAAGGACGTGAAAATCTCTCTGCATTTTAAAATCGTGAAGACAAATCCAGATGGGAAAGAACTTCTTGATTCTAAGAGTAGGTAAATAATTTGATTGAAAATGTTGTCTTCATGTTTCCCATGAAAAAGAAAAGAAAAAACAATTATTAGCTTTAAATAAGATAGAAGTAATTACCATATTGGTAATTACCATATAAATAAATATTGCTTGGTGAAATTGGAAAATTTCCATATATAATGAGAGTAATAATTTGAATTTAAATATGTTAAAATATTATTTTATTTTCTATATTATCCATACATCTTTCAAATATTTATTAGTATATTACTATTTTTTAAATAAAAAAATCTCTTTTAATATTTTGTTTATATATTCAAATTGTGTATTTTATTATGATAAATCCAAGATTTATTAATAAATAAATTATATATAAATAAAAGGTGTCCTAGGTTGGTTGGGAGGAGAACAAACTACTATTAATAAGGGTGTGGAAACTTTCTCCCTACAGATGCGTTTTAAAACTTTGAGGGTAAACCCGAAAGGGAAAACCCAAAGAAGACAATATCTGCTAGCGGTGGATCTAGGTCGTTATAAATGGTATCAGAGTCTGGTTTCGGACGATGTGCCAGCCTTCTCGCTCCCCAAAGGAGGGTAGACACGAGGCGATGTGTTAGTAAGGACGCTGGGCCACAAAGGGGGGTGGATTTGGGGCTTGGAGTAGACACGAGGCGGTGTGCCATAGACATGAGGCGGTGTGCCAGTAAGGATGCTGGGCCACAAAGTGGGGTGGATTTGGGGCCCGAGGGTAGACACGAGGCGGTGTGCCAGTAAGGATGTTGGACCCCAAAGGGGATGGATTTGGGGGCGGGACCGAAAGGGAAAACCCAAAGAGTACAACATCTGCCGGTGGATATGGGTCGTATATAAATATATTAGTTTCTACCCCGGGATTCTAGGGTTTTTTGTAACATCCTCGTCCTCTTTGTTTCTCAAGAATGAACATAAATATTTATTGCATTATTTTTCCTCATATGGAAAGTGTTCTGTCATGAAAAAAAAAAAAGTATATTTATAATTCCTTATTTGGACATTTAATTTTTATGAATTTTTTTATAATTAAAACTAAATCGTTACAAATTAAATTTCGGTGAATTACGAGAACTTTCAATAAGATATAATTCAAAGTTATTATTATTATTATTTTATTTATTTTATTTGAATCCATTTATGTCAAGTGAGTTGTTCTTGCTCTGGCACAATGAATTAATGAAGTATTATTTATAAGTCACTTCAGATATTTCTTGGAGAACCCACCGCCTTCACGTGTTGCTGTTGAAGAAAATTCTCACAGCTCTGAGGACCGATTTGATTCCATTTCGTTTCCCTTTTTCCATATCCTTCAATCACATTCACAATCCCGATTCGCTCTCTCGCCGATCGTCCTCCATTGCCGTCCACGATGCAGTACAACAACTTAGGCAGGTCCGGCTTGAAGGTCAGCCAGTTATCATACGGTGCTTGGGTCAGTTTCGGCAATCAACTCGATGTGCGAGAGGCTAAATCTCTTCTTCAATGCTGCCGTGACCACGGCGTCAATTTCTTCGACAACGCTGAAGTCTACGCCAATGGAAGGGCTGAGGAGATCATGGGCCAGGCCATTCGCGAGCTTGGATGGAAGCGCTCTGATATCGTCGTCTCCACCAAAATCTTTTGGGGCGGTTCTGGTCCCAATGACAAGGGGCTTTCCAGAAAACACATCGTTGAAGGTACCAAGGCTTCGCTGAAGCGATTGGATATGGAGTATGTTGATCTTCTCTACTGTCACCGTCCGGATGCGTCGACGCCGATCGAGGAGACGGTAAGGGCGATGAACTATGTGATCGATAAGGGATGGGCGTTTTATTGGGGTACTAGTGAGTGGTCGGCTCAGCAGATCACTGAGGCTTGGGGGATTGCTAATAGATTGGATTTGGTTGGGCCGATTGTGGAGCAGCCGGAGTACAATTTGTTATCTCGTCATAAGGTAAGCGCCTTGTTTTTGCTGCCAATCGATTGTTTCCTGATGTGTTCTTAGATCATAGAAATGGAATTTCCAGTTATAGTACACAACATTTTCTTATGAGGGTTTTGAATGCTGTGATTATTGACTGATCCGGTGTTGTGATGGTTTCTGCAATTGATTTTCAATGGAACTATGTATATGGTTTCTTCAAATCTGGGTTAGATATGCAATTTTGGCCTTGATCTATGCCATTTTTCGATTTTATTATCATTCTTTAGAACTTCCATTAGTTTTTTCTTTCAAAACTTGACTGAGAATAGATATTGAAAGGCAACGTTGTGGAAATTGAATAGTACTGTTTTCCAATGCAGTGATTGGTTTATGGTACAGTATTATTTTGGTTAAATTACAAGATTTATGTTTATTTGGTCCTGTACTTCCAAAACTATTACTGAACTTTCAACTTTGTATCTATTAAATATAATTTTCAGTTCGTGTGGAACGAAACCTTAAACTTTCAATGTTTTATCTCATAGATCTGTAAATTTTAAAACTTTTGAAAGCTGAGGGGCTAAATTTGAAAATTGGAAAGTTTAGGAATCAAATAAAAATGGCCCTGTAGTTCAGGGGCAAAATTTATATTAGGGGTTAGATCGAACAATAGAACGTAGATGATATTATATGTTTAGCCTAATGATTGCATGGTTCTATATGTATTTACCAGTAAAACTGTTCTCTTTGTTTTCCTCTTCCATTTGGAAATGGAAATAGAGCTTTCCTGTTGTAGATTTAAAGTCAAGGTCTAGTTTCAGAGATGTCAAATGAGATTTCTTTGTTGGAAAACAATCTTTAACTTAATTCATGAAGAGAGTTTAATCTGTTGCAGCTTGCAAGGATGATTAATTTAGTCTCCTCCTTTTGGGTTCTGTTCTTTTTGCATGGAGATTAAATTCAGACATGTTACTGTATCAATGCAGGTCGAGTCCGAGTTTCTCCCTCTGTACAGCAACTATGGCATAGGTCTAACGACATGGAGTCCGCTGGCGTCTGGTGTGCTCACTGGAAAATACAACAAGGGAACTATACCACCTGATAGCCGATTTGCTTTGGAAAATTACAAAGTAAGATAAGTTCAGATCTGATAGTTCGGCATGCTTCAGTATGATTTAGCTAATAAGTTCTTGGTTATCCATTTCTTTTTCGGATTGACGTCTGCAAGCAACCTTGCAACCTCGTTTTGACATCCTATGCTAGTGATTAAGAACTTAGTTGTTTCTTTTTCCCTTTATCCAATGATAAGAACATGGGAACTTAAGCCTTTTATTCTGCATGTCTGTAGAATCTTGCAAATCGATCTCTGGTTGATGATGTGTTGAAAAAAGTCAATAACTTGAAACCAATTGCGGATGAGCTAGGAGTGCCATTGTCGCAACTAGCAATTGCATGGTGTGCTTCAAATCCTAACGTCTCATCGGTTATCACCGGCGCCACGAAGGAATCTCAGGTCAGTTTTATGTGGCTTTTGGTTTTGAAATTTATGCACGTTTTAGTCCGAGATCTGGTCTAGTTAGCATGTGTTTTTCAAATCCTAATGTCTCATCAGTTAAACATGGTTGGGCTAACTGGGAGTCCTTTCTCTGGCTCGTCGGGTCCTAATTGGGTCTGTAAGCCGTAAAATATAAAGGACTGCCTTCAATATGTTTAAAAACCAGTTAGTCTACCCTATACATCATAAACTAGTTCATATCTTCTGCTAGTTATTGGGTGATCTTTTTTAGCTGTGAGGATATATCTGATCTGATTCAGTAGGACCATATCTGTTTTTAGAAGTGTACCAAAAAAGGATTTTAGTTCAGCAGTTGATTCAGTAGGACCATATCTGATCTGTACATTTCCAAGCTTGGATGATGAAAGTCTCACATCAGCTAATTTAGGGAATGATCATGGATTTATAATCAAAGAATACTCTCTCCATTGGTATGAGGCCTTTTGGGGAAGCCTAAAGCAAAGTTACGAGAGCTTATGCTCAAAGTGGACAATATCATATCATTGTGGAGAGTCGTGATTTCTAACATAGTATCAGAGCCATGCTCTAAACTTAGTTGTGCCAATAGATTGGTAAATCCTTAAATGTCGAACAAAGGACTCCAAAAGAAAAGGAGTCGAGCCTCGATTAAGGTGAGGCGTACTTTGTTCGAGGGGAGATATTGAATGATGAAAGTCCCACATTGGCTAATTTAGGGAATGATCATGAGTTTATAATCAAATAATACTCTCTTCATTGGTATGAGGCCTTTTGGAGAAGCCTAAAGCAAGGCTATGAGAGCTTATGCTCAAAGTGGACAATATCATATACCATTATGGAGAGTCGTGTTCATCTAACATCCAAAACCATTCCGTTTGCATTCAGCGGTTGATTTTAGTTCAGTTTCCCATCACAGATTTGGGAACCACACATCACAGATTTGGGAACCACACAGTTTACTGATCATAGTCCTAAGTTCATGATTTGTAAAAGTTAATCTATAGTATAAGAAGCGGATTGCATGAGCATAGCCTTTTTTTTACTTTTTATTATCTCAATTCATGTAAGTTACGGGATTAGCTCTATTCGAAGCGTAGAAATGAATCTGGAGATTCAGATAGTTCCCGAGAAGGAAATTTGACTACAGAATTAATGAAAAGGGGGAATATTTATTGATTATCGTACCAATGATAACCATAGGAATCTCATTAGTTCATAAGAATAAGTACTAAGTTAATCAAAGATATCAAGAAAAAGGCTATCCTTATGAGAAGAGTTTAGTTTTGTAACGATCACAAACCGTCTTCGAACGTGTGCAGATTCAGGAGAACATGAAGGCCGTGGACGTGATCCCACTGCTAACTCCAGCAGTAATGGAGAAGATCGAGGCTGCTGTTCAAAGCAAGCCAAAGCGTCCAGAGTCATTTAGGTGATCATAGCGCACCATAGTCTTCTGTGTATTGCTTAGTAGCTTCCATATTTATGTGCTTTTATTTATGATATGCTCTGTTATGACCTTCTTTGTTTGCTATGAACTTTTGGGGATTTCTTTTTTCTAGTCTTTATTAATGTATGTGTTTGATTTTTGAGGGACATAAAAACAAGTCCAACTATTAAACCATGCCCGAACTTGATCGAAATATCGATATATCATCAAAAATTTAATATCATGAGTTTACGTGATTTTTTTTTTATTTAACCAAATGCGTTAAATATATACAATTAAAAATTTTGTTTATGCTATAGTTAAGTTGACACCGTCACTTCTCGATTAATTTTTTAAAAAAAAAAATTGAACCGTTGATTTTTTATGTAATAATTCATACCTTTTATAATCTATACTAACTAAATTTTATTTTATCGGATATTTCACATGGATGTTTTGATAATGATAGAATAAAAGTATAATTTAAATTTATTAGCATTGGATTAAATTTATTTTATCATAAATATTTTTGAACTTTTAAAAACATCCAAATTAATCTTCTTGGTATATGCGTGTTAATGTTATAATACGTTATTTTTAAAATTTTTTAAAATTTTATGAGTATTTTTTAAATAACTAGGGTTGCATAGAAAAAGCGAGAAATTCATAAATTAGTTTGGCGGTTGGGACATTCCGTCCCTGTGATTTTGCGCGCTATTCTGACCATTGTTACTATCCTACAACTCCGTTCCTCTTTCAACATCTTTCTCCATCTCATTTTCCGAGCTTTTCTCGTTCGAATGCAAATCCGAACACAGGTATGATTTTGCATTTCTGATCTCCGATAAGCATTTTGGTCGTTTCTAGCTAGGGTTAAATCTTGTGTTTGTAGGAGAAAATTTCCCCCCAACACCACGCTCTCTTCGAAAGACCATCTTGAGTGAATTTTTGGCGATATTCGTTAATTGATTCTCTGTATGTTCATTCTACAGTTCGGTAAGGGCGCAGGAAATCTTTTAGGAGAGCGCCTATTTGAAGATTCTTAGGTACATTTCAACGTTTCAAATTTCTGACTAGTTTTAGGTCTAGCCTTTTGTTTTTTTGTCCATGTTACTGAGAAATGAATGGAAATTGTTGGCGTCAATGGCTCGTTCTTGCTGCGATATTGAGTAGACTGAATGGTTTGTAAATTTAGGAGAAACGAAATGAGCATCTGAAGTAGGCGATTTGGGGGTTCCGAGTGTAGAATTAGCAAATTTGTAGATTCTTTTTGTTTGTGTGATGGAAAAAGATAAGGAAAGAGATTTATATTTTGAAGAAGAATGGAGAAGATAGCTTAAAAGGCCAGAAAATGTTCATATGTTGAACAATTTATCTTTCTGAGATCATGCCTAGGGAAGTACAGGGTACTCTAAGTCAACAATTATACATGGAAAGACCAAGGGCTGTTTCGGATGTCCGAATTACTGCAGGTTATAGTGCAAGTGATGTTTGTGTACAGACGGGTGGGGTATTTTCTTCCCAGTTTTTGCGGGATCGAGCTGCTGTAAGAAGATTGTCTGACATGAGTGATGGAGATCATCATAATCAGCAACAGAAAAAGAAAACAGGTCTTAGTTTCAGTCCGAGCAGCCAATTGGTATATGAGGATCCCAGTGGAATTCTTAGACTCGAGAGAATGAATTCTGAAAGGAACAACAAGGTTTATCCTAACAACACAAGCAAATATCAGTGGGAATATAGTGCTACTGGACAAGCATCTGGTGAATACGCCGATGAAATTAACCGAGAAGTTCAATCTGGCCACACGATGCCGCCCTTGTATGCACCGGATTCACCTTGTTCATGTTATCCCCTTGGGGCTGGATTTGGAGATTTTTCTGCCAATGGCAAGATGAAATTTCTCTGTAGTTTTGGAGGCAGAATATTACCGAGACCTAATGATGGGAAGCTTAGATATGTCGGTGGTGAAACACACATTATATCCATTAGAAAAAACATCTCATATGAAGAACTTTCCAAAAAGACATACGCTGTCTGTAAATATCCCCACACTATAAAGTACCAGCTTCCTGGTGAAGACCTTGATTCACTTATCTCTATCTGTTCTGATGAGGATCTTCATCATTTGATCGAGGAATATCATGAGCTGGAAAATGCAGAGGGTTCTCAAAGACTTAGAATTTTTCTTGATTATTGCGAGAGCCCTACTTCTATTGAAGAAAGGGCAGTTCAACCAATTGATGTTGATTATCAATATGTTGCGGCTGTGGATGGTATGCTAGACCCAACTCTTCATAGTCCTAATTTTCGTACTGCTTCTTCACATACTACAGACTTAAAAGATGCCCATTCACCTATGCCAAATTTGGCGGAAATGCTTCCTAGACCTAGTGGGCAATTGTTAAATCCCATTCAAATCCCACGCAAGGCATTTAATCAATCACCTTTAAATTCTCCGGTTACAGTAATGCAAAAGGACTTTAAGAACGTAGATTCAACATGTGCAGAAGATGCTGGAAACTTCATTCCATTTGTTTCGGAGAAACGTCCTCGTGATACGGTTTATTATGTTGATGCAATTGGCCGTCACAATCATCTTTACCATGGTTCTCAATTGATGGATTATCATCATGAAAAATTTAGAGTGGAAACTGATGAGACATACGAAGTTCTTAATGTTCATTTCCCACGAGGCTCCAGCGTAGATTTTGAGCCTGCACCAACTGGGGTCTAAGTGATACTCATTCAGTGAAAACTATGCTCAAGGAACGGGCAGTTAACTATGAACAGCTATGCTCTGATGCGGAGTATTCAATGCAGCTAACATCTGGAACCACCCATATGGGACAAAGAATTATGCATTCACATTCTGAACCCCTACTGCAGGAACAGGATCAAAAGTCGAATCATGGAGGATTCTATCCACTGACCTCATTCATTGACAGTGATCAGTCACCTTCACTGGCAATGTCAATTTCCTTGCAGGATTTGTCAACGATGTGGAAACAGAGAGTTGACGGGGTATTTCAAGATGCTAAATATGAGAATCATCGAAAGGTGGCATCTGGTAGTGAAAATGAAACATATGAAGAATGCAATTTTGATGAAAAAAAGGCCAATTTCAATGGAGGTATTTATGTTCCATCACTTGATGATGACCAAAAATACAAATATTTTCAACATGTTGACTACCAACAAAATGTTTGTCTCCTCAAAGAGGTTCAAAGCTTTAGAGGCAGATTTTCTGCCGAACGAGGTCTTGAATTAGAAACTTCTGCAGACACCACGGGTGGCCCCACCCTCGTTTACCATTTAGAAACAACTGCTCCAAAATATTTCGAGGAGAGCCAATATTCTACTAAGGATAAACAAACTACTAATATAGTAAGCAACTACGGCCTGCAGGTTCAAAGCTTCTTTATGTGCAACATATATACCTTTCCATATGGATTTAATTCTCATATATAACATATCTTGAACTCTTTCATCCGCTTAAGGTACCTCCAACTTTTTAACATATTGATCCGTCCACTTAAGGTACCTCTGACTTTGTAAAATATGCATATCACTGAATGAAGTTGTTGTAATACTAGTATTGAGCATTTTCCACATACGCGCACACACACATCGTTTGTAAGAAAACATGCAAGGGTGTTGATAAGAATTTTGTAATTATAGCATAATTGGAAAGTTCACTCGATCACAAAAGTTGATGTTCGTACTATGTTTTTTTGATCAATTCATACACTGATATGCAGATCATAAAGGATGCAGATCTTAAAGAACTGCAAGAGTTGGGATCTGGGACGTTTGGCACAGTTTTTCATGGAAAATGGAGGGGAACAGATGTAGCTATTAAGAGAATAAACAAGAGTTGCTTCTCAGGCAGTTTTTCAGAGCAAGAACGACTGGTAGGTACGACATAATTTGAAAATAGATCTTTTGAAATGTATAACCGATTCCTGTGCTCATGTTGGTGAATATGGTTATGAAAATTTTCTTAGAAAGTTATAAAATTGTGCATGCAATTTCAAAGTAAAAGTTGTTCATTTTATTTTCTCAAATGGACGAGAGACGATTTCTTACTCACCCACTTTACTCGCTCTTTCTTACTTTTCTTTCTTATGGGACATGCTTCCTACTCGTAAGTATGAGATCCTTGGAGCCCAAGTAAAAAAAATTTATAGGAATTCTCAAGAAATGCTTGGAGCCTAAAGAAATGCGAGTATGTTTCTAGAGCATTTCTTTTGAGATACTTATTTACAATCTTCAAGATAACTTCAGAGAGGACTAATATATATTTATGTAGATTCTCCAAGAAGCTCTCTATATAGTTATTGTTTGTCTTTTATTTTAACACATATTTCCTACAATCTAATTCCACCCTCCCCCCGGCCTTTTCACAATGGGACCAAAATCTCACTGTTTGCTTAGACTAGAGATTTCTGGAGAGAAGCAAAGATTCTCTCGACTCTTCACCATCCAAACGTTTTGGCTTTTTATGGGTTGGTTCCTGATGGACCTGATGGAACATTGGCAACTGTAACCGAGTATATGGTAAACGGTTCGTTAAGGCACGTCCTTTTGAGGAAGGACAGGTAAGTTGGTCTATCTCCACATTTTGATTCTCTTCTTTCCTCTGAAAATGGATAGTGAAACTTTAGCATTCTCACTGCAGAGTGCTTGATCGTCGTAAAAGGCTTATAATTGCAATGGATGCAGCTTCTGGCATGGAATATTTGCATTTGAAAAACATTATTCATTTTGATCTGAAGTGTGATAATTTGTTAGTCAACTTGAGGGATCCTGAACGACCTGTATGTAAGGTAAGTTTTAACATAGCTGACATCTTGTGCACCTACAATGTTTTCTGAGGTTTCTGTGTTTAGTTATCTACTTTTATCAAATTGAATCTTGCAGTTAACTATGACTAGTTGAAATTCATATTTAATATTCATGTCACACTGAGCTCGTTTCGGGGTCATTTCCTGTCTTTTAAGGTGGGAGATTTTGGTCTGTCAAGGATTAAGCGCAACACACTTGCTTCGGGAGGCACGAGTGGAACTCTTCCATGGATGGCACCAGAATTGTTTGATAGTAGCAGTTCTAAGGTCTCTGAGAAGGTTAGCAACTTAAAAACGAAGATCTTTACTTTCTTTCATCTGAATCAAGCCG